GCTTCCTGCATGCCCCCTACTGAGGATGGAGCCTGCAACCCAGGCATGTGCCATGGCCTCTTGGTTCATAGGTCGATGCTCAACCACTGAGCCACACCAGTCAGACTATTACTGGGAATCTATCCATTTCTTCCAGACTGTGTAATTTGTTGTCATATGGTAGTTTTTAGTATTTCCTTATAATCATTTATATCTATGCAGTGTCAGTTGTCACTTCTTTATTTATTTACTTATTGGGGTCCTCTTCTTTTTTTCTTAATAAGTCTGGTTAAAGGTTTATCAATCTCATCTTTTCATAGAACCAACTTTTAGCTTCATTGATGATTTGTATTGTTATTTTTTAGACTCTATTTCATTTATTTCTGTTCTCATCTTTATTTTCTTCCTTCTATTCATTTTGGGCTTTGTTTGTTGTTCTTTTTTCAGGTCTTTAGGTTTAAGATTAGATTGTTTACTTGAGATTTGTCTTGTGTCTTGAGATTTTTTTTTTCCTATGAATTTTCCTATTCAAACTGCTTTTACTGTGTATTCCATGGATTTGGGGTTGCTGAGTTTTCATTTTTATTTATCTCAGGTATCTTTTGATTTCTTCCTTGATCTCCTTATTAATCCATTCATTGTTTAGTAATGTTATTTATATATATGTCCATATATTTGTGTTTCTCGGGTATTTTTTTTTCTTGTAATTGATTTCTAGTTACATACTGCTGTGGTTGGAAAATATGTTTGATATTATTTCAATCCTCTTAAATTTACTGAGATTTGTTTTGTAGCCTAACATGTCATCTATCCTGGAAAATGTTCAAATATATATCTTTTCTTGATGAACAGAAACCTTACTGCTTTTCATAGCCAGATATTATGTGAGCACCTCTTCCAGCACTGGTCTCTGGAATGTGAAACTTTGCTTGGGGTTTGGACCCTATGCTTCTCAGGGGGAAACCCCCACATCTGAGATAAACCTCTGGAATCTCAGCTGCAATCTTGAGAGGTAGGCCAGCCCTTTTCACATCTCTGCCCTTCCTATCAGTCAGGCTTCTTCTGTAAATCTTTGGTTACAAGACTTATCTTCAGCTAATCTTCAATTAGTTATTCAGGATGGTTGTTCTCCAATTAAATTATAATTCTAGTTAGGACTTAGAGGAGTGTATTTTCCACCTACTCCACTGCCATTTTGGATCTCTCTCAAACTATTTCTTAATTCCAAATAACACTTACATAAATGTCATATTAGTACTTTCCATGTCAGATACTTAGCTAAGTTTTGTCTTTGTCACATCTTTGAAAAAAAGAAATCATAATCCTGCAAACATCCAACTTTTGTCACCCATTTACCTGAGCCCTTGTCGTTAATTTGGACAAAAGAAAAATGTACATCCATGTTGAATGATCTTGTGTTAAATTTTTAACCATAAACCTAAAATGGATCCTTAATGCTGATAATCTATTATACTACTCCTAACTCACTGCTAACTCAATCCCTCTCCCAGTGTCAGACAAGTATTCTCATCTTTTCCTCTCTCCACAAACTCTGGACAATTAATCCACCATCCTTATTTTCAGATAATAATCTTACAGTCTACATTACTGAGAAAATAAAAAATAATTCCAGGACAACTTTCATTGAGCCTTTAACCCTACTTACCACCCTCTGCTCCCACCACGCCTACCAACACACAGCATCTGCATTCACCACACCTACCCAATCACCATCATCTATACCCACTACACCTCCCTAAACCATCAGTATCTGCATCACATTTGCCTCCCACCTGATATTGGGATGCACTCTCCATTTTCTCGTCTAGAGTCAGTCCTTCCAATTGTCTTCTAAAACCCATCTCTTCTTACCTACTCAAGGACAGTCCAGAAATTCTCCTCTCTTCCTCCAACATCATCATTTTTCATTCTCTATTCAATCATTTGCCTCACTACACAAACATATCATTATTTCTCCCATCTTAAACATAAAAAAAAACTGATATTTACCCCACTTGCATGTTACCAAATCACCCATTTCTTTGTTCATCTTTGTAGCAACACTCCTAGGAAAAGTGGCCTATATCAACTTTTTAAATATTTATCTTTTGCCAATCACTAAAACACACACTATTCAGAGCTTTGATCCCTTTACACCAAAGGAACTTCTCTAGCCAAGGACACTAGTGACCTTTACATTGCCATGTACATTGCACAATTCAAGATCCCTATCTTATTTAACCTGTCAGCAGTATTTGGCACAGTTGTCACTCATTCTTCCTTGATATACTCCCTTTTACGTGGCTTCTCTTCATTCCATTCCTTTCTTACTGGCCAGTTTCTTCTGGAAAAAGGAAGAAAAAAACTTGATCTTATCCTTGACCTCTTGATGTTGGAATACACCAAGCTCAATTCTTGGTTCTTTTATCTTTTCTATTTACACCCACTGTTTTAGGCTCATGTCAATGACTCCCAAATTTATATCTTCAGCCAATGTACTATTTCTCCAAAATTCAGATTCAGCATTCTACATGTGTCTTAAAGACACCTCAAGCTCAACATGCCCATACTGAACTCTTTATCTTTTTCCAAAAACTTACATCTATAGCCATCCCATTTAACTGACAGTAAGTTTACCTTTCAAGTTGTTCAATCCAGAATCTTTAGAATCATCATTGTCTCTTCTTTCATTCAACATTCATCCACCAGAAAATTCTGTTGGCTCTACTTTCAAAATATATCCAGAATCTGATTATGTCTGATTATCTTTATTGCTAGCAGACTAGTATGAACAAATATCATTTCTCACTTGGTTGCTTCAATAGCATCTAATAGGTCTCCTGTTTCTACTTTTGTTTCTTACACAGAAGCCATAAGGATACTTTTAGATGTAAATCAGATCATGTCACTCCTCTATTCAAAATCTTATAACTAGTTCCCTCTTACATACAGTCTACACCAAAGTCATATCATTGGCCTAAATGGTCTTATATGATTTTACTCCTGTTGTATCTCGGACATCATATCCTAATATTTCCACCATTGTTCTTTTGCTCCAGACATACTGATTAGTTAATAAATATTTTTAAACAAGTCAAACCCAGTCTCCAAGAAGCTCACAGTCTACTGGACAAAACAGAGGTAGATAAATGATTACAAACAGAAGGTGGTAATTGAAGTTCTCTTCTGTTTCTCATTCAAAACTCTGGGAGGTGAATGTTAAACATTGAGAAATTTGCAAAGACTGGGAGTGATGTTAGAGAACACAGGAAGGAAGAAAGGACTTTTCAGGCAGACAAGCATTGCAAGTGCAAAGACCTGGAGAGATGAATCAATAGAATCCTATCTAATAAAATGAAAATATGCTAATTGACTCTCACACCATCACAAAGATGGCAGCAAGCACAGCCAATAAGGAGGGAATATGCTAATCGACTGCTGCACCCTCAAAGATGGTGGCACCCACAGTCACAAGATGGTGGCTCCCAGTCCCCTCAGCCCTGCCAGGATGGCAGGCACAGGACAAGGCTCTGGAGTCCCCCACTCCCCTCAGCGCCCCAGCCACCCAGGGCTGGCCCAAGACGAGGCAAGCCTCAGATGTCGGCTTCCCAGTCATCCAGGGCTGCCCAAGGCTCAGGTAACCAGGACTGGCTGAGACTTGCACTGCCAGCAGTGGCAGCAGCAGAAGTGTGATGGGGTGTCACTTTCCCCTGATCACCTGATAACCGGGTCTCCTCCCACCCCTGAGAGATCCAAACTGTGAGAGGAGGCAGGCCGGGCAGAGGGATACCCCCTCCAGTGCATGAATTTTCATGCACCAGGCTCTAGTATTTACAGAATCACAAATAAAGCATCAAAAAATAACATTTGAAATAAGGGAATCTGGATGTAGGAGGCAAAAATAAATATGGTTTATACTTTAGATAGGAGTCAGATCATGAAACACTTTGTATTTGTTTCTTTCCTAACAGTTTTCAATATGATCGAAGAACAATTTATCATGTAATTTTGATGCACCTCCTTGACAGGGCCAAAGCAATACTTGGAAAGGATTCTGAATCCTCCGAGTTAAAGATACAAAAGAAAAACCTAGAGTCACATTTAATTTGACAAGGTAAAGGAGTGGGTGTGCTGCTATATCAAATTCAATTTGTATAAAATCATCATCTCTGGTAACATTATTTTTCTTGATCTACTTCGTTTAGACTACTTTAGTAAGGCTTGATCTCCTTGTCTATCTAAACATCGCTTCACTTACAGCAAGCTTCAGGATAACATTGGTCTTATTAATTCCTGGTAAGTCCGCAAGGTATTAGTTGCACACAATACTGTATAAAAGGTGAACTGAGACTTAACTCAGTCTACAGCTTTCCCTAGACAAGGCAGCGGACCACAGGTGAGTCTCAGCATCTATAGTTATCAAGTAGTGACAGTTACTTTCAAATTACAGGTTTTTCAAAATCTGGAGAAAAAATCTAGAGGTTTTGAACTGTCATGTAGAAAATCTGTGCTTGTCAACCTAGCTTCTTAAATATGGTTAATCAGTATATACTCCGTTAGCAAGAAATTGACTTTATAGACCTCTGAAACAAAGGTGAGTAAAAACAAAGGAAAATATGAGATGCTAAAAATGAACTAATTTTGTAGTACAGAATTTTCTTCTTCTTTTTAAACAAAATAATCTTTAAAATGAAAACAAAGGGGCAAATATGATTACACAATTACTTGCTTCAGAGTAATTGATTAATTGGTAATATTCTAATCTTTAAATACTGCTTTACTTTCATCATTATACTGGAGTTTTAACCTATGTTTCTACTTTGACAAAAAAAAATGAAGAAGGAGGAGGGTAAGAACAACTATTTGTTCAAGAAACTAGGAAGAAAAATAATTGCTGCAGCAAATGTGACTGGGGCAGATGAGTAAACCAATTCATTTTGGTTTGGTCAACTTACGTAATGATTATAACTCTTTTGAGTTTTGTTTTCTCATGGCCTTAATTGTTTGCTTCATAGTCCAGGATGAAGTCAGTCCATTTGTGCTTTCTTTTCTGCTGCTGGAAAGCAATGTGCTGCAATAGTTGTGAGCTGACCAACATCACCATCACAGTGGAGAAAGAGGAATGTCGCTTCTGCCTCAGTATCAACACCACTTGGTGTGCAGGCTACTGCTACACCCGGGTAGGAACTCTGCTTTGCTGGAAGTGAGGGTGCTGAGGGTCTATAGAAGACAATTTTTATTAATTCCCATTTTATTAGTATTTTAAGTTTCCAAAGTAATAGCTATGAGTCCCCTTAGCCAAATACTGTCTGTGTTATGATTAAGGTTTATTACCATGATATCAGTTAGATATTTGGGTAAATTTAGGGAGGCCTCGGATCTTATTTGATCTATCAAGCAGTATGCCAACTCTGCATTAAAATTAAAAGGAATTCTATGATAGATTTTACATATAGAGAGGTAAACATACCAACATACATATATTTAGTAATAGAAGACTTATAAATATTTGCCAAAAGCTAATTTCTAGGAAGATGTATTTCGTGTATACTATGTATTTCTATTTCTACATAACTGAAGCTATATCTCTGCAATTGAGATATGTTTCTAAGCCACATAAAAACACAAACATCCACATCATACTAGTAAACACTGCCGTATTGTCCCTCTTGAATACAAATGCCAGCAACCGTCCTGAGAACACATTCAGTCATTGCAGACTGTTACAACCAAATGAATCTGCAAACCCACTCACTTCTTTATACTGTTGAGAAAACCAAGGCACAGAGGCATAAAACCACTAGTTTGTAGTCAGTTTCTTTGCATCAATCCAAGTAAGAAGGAAGCTTCCCCTTAAAAATTCTATTCTATAACTGATACTGAAAATAGCAACTTTGGGGGGGAGGGCGCGGTTTGTTTGTTTATTTTTCAATTTTTTAATTCTAACCCAAGGATATTTTCCCTTCAATTTTTAGAGAGAGTGGGAGAGAGGGAAGGACAGAGAGAAATATCAATGTAAGAGAAATACATAAATTGTTTGCCTCCTGCACCAGCTCCAACCAGGGCCCGGGCTGGGAGGAGCCTGCAACCAAGGTACATGCCCTTGATAGGAGTCGAACCTGGGGCCCTTCTATCTGCAGGCGGACACTTTATCCACTAAACCAAACTGGCTAAGGCAAAATAGCAACTTTTTAATGAAATATATTTTATTGGTGGCAAATAAATATGATCAACCTCCACTTAATATACAGTTTATTGTACCTTCTAAGCAAATAGAATTTGTAGCATGATATTGAAATAAATTAAGCAGCTGTTATAATTTCTTCCCTCAGTGCATATAATTTTTTTATTCAAAAGTGTTGGGACACACCTGTTCTTCCTGAATTAAATTTTTTTATATGTAAACATGTGTCCTTTGATACTGAGAGCACTGCAAAATATAAAGCACTAAAGGAAAGGAAATGTCTATAGGACTGTAGAATATTTAAAATCTTTTGTGAGCCTTTATAGTCATGTTAAACTAAGCATTAACATTCCATATTATGTCTCTTTGGAATTAACATTCCAAAAGCACACAGGGACAATGTATTTGTAAATATTTCTTGAGAAATTAAACTTCAGTTTTAAGTTGTCATTAACACAGCTTTCAACTAAGTACAAAAAGTCAACTTAAGCCCTAGCTGGTTTGACTCAGTGGATAGAGTATTCACCTATAGACTGAAGGGTCCTGGGCTCAATTTCAGTAAAGAGCATGTACCTCAGTTGCAAGCACTGAGGCAGGTGCAGGAGGCAACCAATCGATATGTCTCTCTCACATCAATATTTCTCTCTGTCTCCCCATCTCCCTTCCACTATCTCTAAAAATCAATGAAAATATATCCTCAGGTGAGGATTAACAACAACAACAAAAGTCAGCTTAAAATATCTGTCATGTCTCCCTTGCTCATCATTTTTCTATATTGAAAATACATTTTGATACAGTCTATATATTCAAAATTTCTCTATGGTTTGAGAAATAATTAATATGTTGATATAGACAGAAGGAAAAGGAATGATTTATATTTTCTGTAAGATTTCCAGAACAACCAGGAACATGGTATAGCATATAGGTAGTTCATTTATGAAATCATGTTCCCTTGGTTAAGTATTCCTTAAGTGAGCTTAAGGAATAAATTAAATTCCTATCACATTTTGATTAAGTTAAGCAGAAACTCCCAGAATACTGTAACCTAACTCTCTCCTTCCTAAACTCCTCAGGATCTGGTGTACAAGGACCCAACCATGCGTAATACCCAGAAAGTATGCACCTTCAAGGAGCTGCTCTATGAAACAGTGAGAGTGCCTGGCTGTGCTCACCATGCAGACTCTGTGTATACGTACCCAGTAGCCACTGAATGTCACTGTGGCAAGTGTAACAGAGACAGCACTGACTGCACCGTGCAAGGCCTGGGGCCCAGCTACTGCTCCTTCAGTGAAATAAAAGAATAAGGAGCAATGGACATTTTAGGCTGCCTACCCTTGTCCTGAAGGACCAAGATATCCGAAAAGTCCACGTGTGTACAACATGCAAAGGCTGCAAGCCACTGTGGCCTAGGGGAGCATCCGACCCCACTGATCCCGGCCTCTCCAGAGCTTGAGAGTGCAAGAATTGAGGGTGGTGAAGCCAGGATCCTGGCTCCACTCCACCCTGAATCTTAGGTCAGGTTCCTTAAGTTTTACTTAGTCTTACTTAACATATAGACACAAGGATACCTTCTGTTTATTAATCTTAGAAACCCTCTTGGTCAACCCTTTCCCCTTCAGATCGGGATACCTACTCTCAGAGGGAGGAAATGAGATGGGAGTGGGTGAAAGTATTAGATGCTGCATTCTTCTGATGGACTCTTGGGCCCTCAAAAGCAGGGCCAGCATCTTCTTCATCATTGTAGCCTTGGCGTCTAACACCATGCCTGGAATTTAGTAAGAAACTCAACAATGGCTTCCTTAAGGAAAGTAAGAACAGAAAGGTAGGGGGTAGGAAAACACTGAAAAAGGATGGCTGATGAGGCAGCCCCAACAATGCCCATCAGTCCATGGGAATGAGGGCATCAGTTCCACCTCATCTCTCCTCCTCTGGCAAACAGGACAGGTTGCACCTCTATGAATTGCTCAGTACAGATGGGAATTGAGATTTCCAAGCTATTACTTCCAAGCCCTTTAGATAAGGGCAAACTCAAGAAATGTTAATATGGGCCTATGAAATTTAGCCCACATTTATTCTAACATTTAAATAAATTGAACAAATTCTGCCACGCTCCTGCAAAACTCCCTTTTAAAAGTAAAATTACCCTGTCCTCTGGACTGGATTTGCTCCTTGAAATAGAAGGGGATTTGAAAGTAGGTTTTAAAGCAATTTCAGCAGCTTATTAAGTGCATTTATCTTATCTACAAATGCATTTGTGTAAATAAATAGCTCTTTTAGAAAGAATTAGCCATGAAGAAAAAGAAAACTTGTTTTCTAGAATCCTCTCTACATCAGTCTTCTCTTTTGTTTGTTCATGTTCTCTAAAATCTATGATTTCTTACAAGAAGGTACATAATGAAACTATTTTATGAGTTGATTTTTTTAAATGATCAACTTAAAGTTATATACTTGTTTCACACTTAAAATGTTTTAACTACTGTAACTTATTCAATCCTACTTTATTTTTTTAAATAAAGATGCTAGGCATTAGAGTCATAAATTTGAATTTTTTCACTAACAGCTAACATGTGCATGTTTATAACAATAGCAGAAAAAAACTTAACTTATAATTCCTAGTGCTTCTGTAAATATTTTATGTCCTTGCCTTTGAAACTATTAAAAATGATTTAGTCGCATTTCAAAATTTCCTGTAATTTTTTTAAAATTTATTTCCTGATGTAATAGGGAAACAAAGCAGAGGGAGAATAACAGAGTGGGTGAGGGCCCTGGAGATTCTCCAGTTCATTTCTTAAATGGTGGACACAGAAAAATTAAAGATCAAGGATGTTAAGATCATAGTCAACATCACAAAGACTATTCATAGCAGTACCAGATTTAGAACCCTGGCTTCCTAGCGCTTAGCCCACCTCCCCTGTGAGTACCCTATCATACTAAGAAGTTATCATGGCAAGGATAGATGAAAAAATGTAGGAATTAATAATCAGCTTTGCCCATTCAAATCTGGTATTGAGTGTGGTTTAAAGCTATATTCTCTACAATATTTTGACACATTGAAATTAGGCTGTAATAACAAATTTTGACAAAATGCTTTAAATGATACCATAGCCTTTTCCTTCTCCCTATGCTTTTAGAAATCAAAACAATTGCCTTCCCATTAGTGGTAGTATAGGGCAATGGCCACAGAGTCAAGTTGTCTTAATCTTCTTGACCAGATGTGTCATCTTGAACAAGTCATTTAAATTCTCTGGACTTCAGTTTCCTCTAGAACAGATTTAGATGTTTCTTCCATTGACACGATGTAGTAATTAGTTGTCAACTCATATTTCTATGAGAGTTTTACCATCCTCTCATTCAAGCTATCTTCTGGCCTGACTAGTCAGTACACACTGCTATAACGAGAATACTACCCACTGGCCCTCTTATGAACAACAGAAATGTATTTCTCACAGTTCTGAGGCCGGGAAGTCTAAGATCAAGGCACCAGCAGATTTGGTGTGTGGTGAGAGTCCACATCCCGTTTCACAGGCAGCTGCCTTTTTTGCTCTATGTGCACAGTGGCAGGGGAGGGAGGGGCTCTCTTGGGCCTCTTTCATAAAAGCATTTATTCCATTCCATTGATGAGGTCTCTGCCCTCCCGACTAATTACTTCTCAAAGGACCCATCCAAATACCATCACATGGGGAATTGGGTTTCAACATATAAATTTGGAGGGAAGGCAAACATTGAGTCTATAGCATGGCCTATGAGAATGAAATATGAACAACCTTCCTTATGCAAAAAATGAAAGGAAATCCATAGTTCAAAATGGTTGGCGATTTCAGCATTGAAAAGACATAAACAAACAAAATCTTAGCTGAATATAACTGAGTATGAAAGTTGGGTCGATGAATTATATACATAAGTTCCTAGAAACATTTTTAAACTGTCTTAGGGATTTGCATTTAATTCATTTATATTCACTATATAACAAAAACAGTACTTCAATTTATAAGGTAGCTCTAGGCATTTCATTTGTTAGGCTGATTTACAGTAAACTAGCTTATTGTAGCATAATAAAAAATAGTCTTTGCTATATGCCACTACAATAAATTAATCAAGCAATTAAAATTGAATTTTCACACTACAATCTTATTTTGTTTTCTCACATATACAAAATAATAGCATCAAGCATCATTTAAAACCAATAATATGATTTGTGCTTTGCAGAAACCAACAACAAATTAAAAACCAAACCTTTGCATCCGTAACAACAGAAACAGCCAAGAGCGTTTGAGAAATGAGTATGATTTTTCCTTCACCGTTACTATAGCACACGGAATGTGGGAACAAATGGAGCCTAGTACAATCGTGTGGTTATTTTAAAGGCTGTAACACTTCAGGACAATGCAAATGACTTCTCACATTAAAAAGACATTACATCGCTCATCAATTTAGAAGAAAAGGCAAACGACTGCTCTCAAATTATAAAGTACATTTCTGTGAAAAATTACCTCTGAGCTGCAGGAGACCCTGAGGCTATTGTGATGTACCTCTTCACGTGTGCTGGAAGTGATGGTAGCCCGCTCCAGGGTTGAGAAAGGCAACAGTTCTGTTGTTAAAAATATTTAAAGTGAGTGATTAATCATGAGCTGTGTCATAGGCATGTGAAGTGATGGAAGATGGAAAAACTTCTGAAAAACCAAGCGGCTTTGCGGAGGAGGTGTAATCAACCCCTGATTAATTGTGCTAATGGAAAGAAGTGTTGTGGATAACACAAACATCAGTAAATGCCAAGTGAAAGCTCACCTGCGTTTGTCCCAAAATGTATAAATTGAAATTTTAAGATAGAAGATTTTCCTCCCTTGGAACTGTTGTCCATGGGGGTAGGTCTATAATTTAACCCAAACAGTATCTTCAAAAGAATAATGCCGTGCAGTGTTAAAGGAGTTGGAATAACAACATCTGACAAAGGGAATGCATTCCAGATACATCACTTGTAGAGTAAGCATAGTTCTCTATGCACTGCCCCAATGCCTATCCACTAGCCTTAAGGTGGACTGAAAACTGAAAAGGTGAAAGCTTACTTGTACAAAAATACAAATTCTGCCAGGGTTTCCCAGATGGGTCTGATAAAACAGATGAAAGTAATCCAGGTTTATTAAAGGTTTTCTTTTGCAGGTATACAAACAGGGCTGCTTCACAAAGACACTCAGTAAAACAGGGAGAACAGCCCACTCTTCAGCAGCTATTTCCATCTAGCCTTGCAGCATGGGTGTTTATTCAAGCTTTCAAAACATAAAATTCAGTGGGCATTCTGTTTCAGACAGAAAGCTAAATACTACTGAGAATGGACTCTGGAAAAAGCATACCTGGTTACTGTCCGGATGAAATAAAGCACCCCAGCAACTCTTAACAATAAATGCACAAGAAATATAACTGGTTTTTCCTTTCAAATGTTCATTGATTCTGAAATCTCTCTGGGCTAAGAAGCCAGCTGCTAAAATATCAATTTAGATTTTTGAAGAAGGGTTTGGGTAGAGCATAAGTATTTAGGGCAACATCCTATCTAATAAAGAGGGGATATGCAAATTAACCATCTCACCATCACAAATATGACGGTGCCCATCGCCACAAGATGGCAGCACCCAGTCCTCTCAGCCCTGTCAAGAGTTCCCCAGTCCTTTCAGCCCCGCCAGGGAGGTGGCAGGTGCACAGTGCAGCCAGACCCACCCTCAGTCCCCCAGCTGCCCATGGCCAGCCCAAGGCATAGGCAAGCCTTGGAAGGTGGCTGCCCAGCTGACACCTGAGACACAGGCAAGTCTTGGATGGCAGCTGCCCAGCCGTCTAAGGCTGGCCCATGGTGCAAGTAAGCCTCAAATGGTGGCTGCCCAGCTGCCCAGGGCCACCCAAGGCTCAGGTAACTAGGGCCAGCCAAGGCTTGTGCTGCTGGCAGTGGCAGCAGTAGAGAAGTGATGGGGCATCGCCTTCCCCTGATCGCTGAGTCGCCTCCCACCCCTAAGGGCTCCCAGACTGTGAGAGGGGGCAGACCAGGCTGAGAGACCCCCTTCCAGTGCTAGTTATAATGTCCTCTACAATGGAAACTACAAATAAGAAAAGAAATCAGACCTGGATTTAAATCCATGTGGAATAATAGGACTTTAAGAGTTTGAAGATTGTCAATATTTAAGCACATTTAAGAAGTGAACTGAAAGGGCATCAGATTCCCAAGGGGATTGTTCTAAGTTTAGTGCCAACATAGATGAGTCCAAAAAATTTTGGGACAAGTCAAATAAAAAAGATACAAAATTAAAAATGATACATGATA